CAGGATGGTCCTTCCCTGCTGGGAGTCTCGGTTCGGGCGGCGGCAGGGGAAGGAACTACAAATCCCAGCATGCACAGCGAGGGCTCGTTCTGCGGGGCAGCTGGCTGCCGCGCCCGCGAGGCAGGGGCCGGGCAGGGGCGCTGCATTGGAAGCGGAGCTCGTGTGCTCCCGGCCCCGTGGGGCTCTCAGAGCCGGCTGCGGGGAAGGCGGAATAAATGAGATCAGTACAGTTTGCGGTAGAATTCGCTCTTAGCCAGCTGCCCTCTAATCTTTTCCACCCATGTGCGGAATAAATGTGCTCATGTGCACTGAAACAGGTGTGAATGTGCACCACCAGTAGAAAGAAAAAACATAGCGGTGGGCGGTCTGCTAATCAGCCAGCTGGCATTTGAATCTCTTCTGAGCAGCCACACAAATGCCCAGCTTACAGGCAACGCTATGCTCAGGCTCCCTCTGGGGCTATGTCCAGAACCATGACTTACGTGAATCGTGTGCATTTGTGCCTGCCTCCCCTTTCATCCCCAGAGAACCTATAGCTCTTCACAAAGTGAACAGGATGCACTGCAGACTGTGCTTCCCAAAGGCACCAACCTGGCTAAATTTCACAGACACAAATTGATCTGAGGAAATTGATCTGAGGAAGTGGGTCTGGCCCACGAAAGCTCATCACCTAATAAACCATCTTGTTAGTCTGTAAAGTGCTGCATAGTCCTATCTTTTGTTTCAGCTAGACCAGACTAACACGGCTTCATCTCTATCATGATTCCCTCCTAGGCAGTCACCCAAGCACACAGCTTACAGGTAACACTGGATCAGTCTTTGCCCAATTACTTTTCCCACTCTCTGCTCACTACAGGAATCTTCCTTTCCAGACCCTAATTTCTAACTCCTGCCGGAGGGTATGCCTAATCTGAACTAGCTAGTCCGTGCTGCATGTAGCCGCGCGGCACAGGGTCCGAACTAGCCGGCATTTAAAAATGGCGCTGGCCGGCTTTATGCAAATGATGCCCGGGAAATTCAAATCCCTGGCTTCATTTGCAACTCCGTATGACTACATTATCCCCCCAGTTCGAACAAGGGGGGTAGTGTAGACATACCCAAAGATCCTTATTTCTCACGCTTCTCCCTCATGTTTCATTTCCACAGTCAGATCAGCTCACTCATTCTCTCCACTGTCCTTTTACAATTTTACTTTATTCCTACCTTCCTACATCTTTATCTACCCTTCAATTAAAAAAACAACAAAGAGTCTGGTGGCATCTTAAAGGCGAACAGTTTTATAATGGCATAAGTTTCCACTTTTGCTTATGCCATTATAAAATTGTTAGTCTTTCAGTGTGCCTCCAAGACTCCTTGTTTTTGCTGAAACAGACTAACGTACCTCAGATACTCTTCAATTAATAATTACCGCTCATTTGCGCTAAGCAGATCAATGAATTTATGAATTTGCTGTAAGATGAATTGTGAACTCCTTTCACTAACAAGCAATGCCCTTCACATAATATACACTGGTCACTCAGCAGTGAAGAAAATCAGTAGTATTCTGGTAATCTGCAAAAAAAAAAAAAAAAAAAAGAGCAAAGCTAAGCAGGAGGGAAAAGTAAAATGACTGAAGGTACAGATGCTGTACATGGCATGTTTTCCAGACAAAGAGTAAGAAATCCCATCACTGTTTGCCACATATGTTAATGTTGCTCAAATTCTCCTACATGGCCTCCAAATCCCTGTGGAGAGCAGAAGCATGCAGCAGTAGGCAGGGAACCAATAGCAGCTCAGCAAGTGACCTAGCTCTGCTGCCATTTTCAGAGGGCAGTGCAGGGAGGCAAGGACATGCACATAGTGTCTGAGAGCATCAGGATTTTAGCAATTGCCTACGCATCCTTGACACACGTGTGCTTTAAAGGGACAAGATGGGTGAGGTAATAACTTTTATTGGGCCAACTTCTGTCAGTGAGAGAGACAAGCTTTTGGGCTTACACACAGCCTTTCTTTAGGTCTCGGAAATCTACTGAGTGTCACATGCTAATTAATGAGTTCGGTGGCATCTTAGGGCGTGTCTACACTTTTTCAAAATAAAAAGGTGAGCATCCACACTACCAAGCCTGTTATTTCAAAATAATGGGCTTTTTATTTCAAAATAATAACTCCTATTAGTGAAGAGGAATAAGCTTATTTTGAAATAGTTATTTCAGAAGTTATTTTTTTGAAATAACTTATTTTGAAATAACCTGGTAGTGTAGACATAGCCTTAGAGACGAAGAAGAACATATATTGTATCATGAGCTTTTGTGAGTAAGACTCACTTCATCAGATGAGTTGGAGTGGAAATAACAGAATCCAAGATCTATATAATAGGAAAAGAAATATCTGTCAGTTGTAGGACATGTGTTAATGAAGCTAATTAAGTGGGCTGGATGTGTCCCATTCATTGAAACATTGGCAGTGGAAATGGCTTTGTAGTGTGTTAAACAGTTAATATCTTTATTCAAGCTGAGGGTAACAGTGCCAGATTTATAGATGAATTTCAGGTCTGCAGCCTCTGTAACTGGGTGGTGAAATTCCTTTGTAGAAGAAAAGGCTACCTTTAAATCCACGATTGAGTAACCAGGTAGGTTACAGATAGTAACTTATAGGTCCCTTATAGGTTTATGTGTGTTACCATTTCTGATGTCTGATTTGTGTCTGATTTCTTTGTCACAGAGTCTGTCTGGTTGGGCCAATATACATGGCAGAGGGGCATTGCTAGCACTTGAAGGCATCATTGTTTTTGGTTACACACTAGCACGGCTACCCTCTCCTCCCCCCCCCCATTTTAACATGTTAAAATAATTGGTTTCACCTTGTGTGTCACATGATTCATACTCAGTATATTTCTTTATACCTGAACAAGAACTCTGGGCAAGCTCAAAAGCTTTGTCTCTCTCACCAAGACAAGTTGGTGCAATGAGAGGCATTACCTAATGTAGCTTGTCTCTCTAGTCCAGTCTCGAACATCCTGGGACCTACACAGTTACAACTGTACTCCATGGGTGTGTCTAGACGACATGGCTCTGTCGACGGAGCCATGTAAATTAGTGTATTCGGTATAGTCAAAGAAGTGGGGATTCTTTGACTCTTGTATTCTGGGGCTCTTGTACATATCAAAGGAAGAATGCGGGACTTCATGTGCAGCAGGAAGTCGTGCTGACTCTGGGCTGCACGCAGGCATGCTTGCTTTGAAATGGGTCCAAGCTCCTCGTGTTGGCAGGAAAAGTGGCAACAGCCCCTTCTCCAGACACTACAAGTCTCCGTTCCCCTGGTTGTGTTTGATTTAAAAAAATGCCAGTAGGGGACACTCTATTAAGCCACGAAAGCCATTCAGCTTTGGTAGTAGCCAGCCAGTTCACACCCATCAGGAAATTCAAGCCCTTTGTCAACCTGATACAGCCATACAAGAGCTCGTTAGCTACTTCATCCCAAGTTTGTCTAGTTTTAAGCAATTTCCCATTCGGGTTTCCTTCTGTTAATTTCTCTCTTCAGGGAACAGGGGAGAGCTGGAGCATCTGACCCCCTTTCCCTAAATGGGGAAGGAGCCTCCACTATGGTGTTGACTAGAGAGAGGCAAGGTGAATGAAGTGATGCTTTTTATTGGCCTAACTTCTGGGTAAATATTTGTAGCAGTGTTCCTTGTAAGCTGCACGCTTGTGTAACCACTCAGGAGAGATTCAAATGCCACCCAGATGATTAGCAGAATGCCCACAGCTAGGTTTTTTTTCTCATGATGATGCACATTTGCACATAAAAAAACTTATTCCTTCCATGTGCAGAATATTTTTTTATATGCAAATATGCACCACCAGTAGAAAAAAAATCTAGCTGTGGATGTTCTGCTAATCATCTGCCATTTTGTTGCCCAGTCACCTAGTCTTTTGAAGCTCTTCACAGTCTGCTTTGAACTTAACTGTCTTACGCAGGTTAGTATCATCTGCAGATTTTGCCACCTTATTGGATTATCCCCTTTCTCCAGATCATTTATAAATATGTTAAATAGGATTGGTCCCAGTAAGGACTCTGGGCTGTGTCTACACTGGCCACTTATTCCAGAAAATCAGCCGCTTTTCCGGAATAACTTGCCAGCTGTCTACACTAGCCCCTTGAATTTCCAGAAAAGCACTGACGATCTACTGTAAAATCATCAGTGCTTTTCCAGAAAAACTATGCTGCTCCTGTTCGGGCAAAAGTCCTTTTCCGGAAAACTGTTCCGGAAAAGGGCCAGTGTAGACAGCACAGATTTATTTTCCGCAAAAAAGCCCTGATCGCGAAAATGACAATCGGGGCTTTTTTGCGGAAAAGCGCGTCTACATTGGCACGGACGCTTTTCCGGAAAAAGTGCTTTTCTGGAAAAGC